GTTCTGTCATTGTCTCATCAAAATAAAAAAAAAAAGGAGTCTGGAGACAGCTTGTGAATGTCTGTCTGAGGCTGAGGCTCACCTGCCACTGTCAGCCAGCTGCTGCTGCAGGCTTTATTTATTGCAGATTTCAGGAGTCTGCTTTACACTCACCTACCGCACAGGTTTTGTTTATTTAGAGTTCTCGTGGGTACATGCCCCTTTTGTTTTCTCCAGTATACAGCCCTACCCACTTGTTGCAACTGCAGTCTTTTTTCATTATTTATAGTTTGCGTGTGTGAGGTGCCCCTCCCCTTCTCTGCAGTGGAGGGTGCCATACTTTAGCTGCTGTTACAAGCCTTCTCCTCTCCAAACACACTTGGGGAAGTGGTGCCACACCCACCTTCTCTGGCCAGCTTATTTATTTACAGTTCACGTGCAGAGTGCCCCTCCTCCACTCTCCGGAGCTCAGGGTGTCCCGCCCTCTATGCTACGTTTCTTTTTTATTTCAGCTGCTTGTTTATTATTCAGGGTTTTTTTCTTTTTTTCCCTGGGCAGGGGTCAGTCTGTCCAGAGGGCTATGCTGATTTGTCCCAGGGAGTACCACATGCCACTTATTTGCTCACCTGGTGATCTGCGTCTCCCAAGCTGGTTAGGAGCTGGTGTCTGGCAGTGCAGGAGCCCTCCTGGTTTCTCTGTTTAACGTGGAGTGGGGATGCTATGTGCAGGCTGGGAGTTTGGAGGTATTGGAATTTTGCCTCTTCTTGGTGGTTTTTCCTGCCAGGTGTATCTCCAGCATCTCTCCAAGAGTTTACTTTAGGAAGCATGCTTTCTGCTTCCTCCCTCTGGTTGCCATCTTGGAATCCAACTCAAAATATTGATAATTGCTCCATACTCATTTCTACACAATATGGTTTAATTTTATATGTTTGTGAATTCTATGTAAGTAAAATGACACTCTATTTATTTTATATTTTCATTCTTTTATTCGATGTAATTAATGTACTAGCTAAAGGAAGACAGCCTCTACAGTGGACCCTGGTCTGTGTAGCTCCCTATACTTCTAACCAACAGCATATGGCAACATTCAGCAATTTAGTAACAAAACTTGTGACTTTCTCTTGGTAGCCTACTCTTTGCTGCATAGTAGCTGGCTTTCATGAATCCAGCTGCTATGTGGGATACATCATGCACCAAAAACTTTAGGAGAGCCTGCTGAACAATTAACAAAGCATTGAGATTTGCATTGCAATATCATCAGAAACCAGATACTCTCAGTAACCACAGAGGTGAACTTGGAAGTGGATGCTTCCAGCCTGAACCCTCACCTGAGACCTCAGTGCCAGCTAACACCTTCATTGACATCTCATAAAACACAGGGAAGAACACAATGAATCCATTTTGTACCTGATTCCTAATACATAGAAACTATGAGCTATAAATGTGTGGTGTTTTAAGCTGTGAAGTGTTGAAGTAATATAACATACAGTAGATGACTAGTTCATATTTTTCTGGTCCTGCACATTACCATGAGAAGAAGAAAGAATCAAAAGATACAGAGAAGTAGATATTCTAGAATAGATTCAGTCATGAGGCATGAAATCCCAACAGTCTGACTCTGCTCCCTCTCCAAACAGCCCAGGAGACTCTGTTTACTAAGGTGATAAGGAAGGAGCAGGAAAGGGGCCACCAGCATCACTGAGAAATTCAGTGATGTCTAGTCTTTAAAGTTGGATTTTGGTGGGAAGTATTGTAGTAGAACTTAGCTCCCTGAGGAAAATGGGGATGAGAAGATAAAAAATAACAGAGTTCAGTGGGAACCATTTTACAACTTTTAAAATACCTGAGGAAAGAGAGGTGGAGGTAGATCCTGATCACATGGAACTGACTGACGTCCATGTGAAATCTCCTGTTCTTTGACACTGTACAATAAGGAGATATAGACCTAGACACCTTGCAGAACACATGATGACTAAAATACTTATGACATCATGTTATTCATACCTGGTGAACAAGAAACATGAATACCCTGGGTACCTCAGTGAGATACATATGCTCCAGAAGAATGGATTTCCAGGGCTGAAATGTCAGTGCTGTGATTAACAGTCCAACCTAGGGGATAACAGGACACCTTCTGCTGAATACCTGATCTTCCAGTCAGGAACCAACACAGAATCCAGAGTAAGGTACCATCCCTTTAGGACATCAGCCAGTTGCTTGTTTTGGACTGGGGTTCATAATTAGTCTGGATAAAGGTCTGCCTTTTCAACTTAAGTGCCTTAGTCAGCACCATCAGTGGGGGTAAGTGGGAGAGGGTGGCTCAGAACATTCAAATGAGCATCATGGAATCTTGTACAACAGTACCTATGATCTACAGACCCCCAACAACAGCAAAGGATGTGGGACAAGGAACACATAACCATGGGATCCACTGTTCCTAATTAGTACTACACCAGCCAGAAACTGGTGGATTGATAGTGTGATGTCACCACTTCTTGAAACTTGGAAATGAATCACTGTTTTCAAGATTAATGTCAAATTATGACAGTTATGTAAGGTTGTGTCCCCAACAGTTGGAATACATTAACAAAGAAGAGCAAGTTGTTAAAATATGAGCTGCCTTACTCAACTGTATTCCAGTGATCCATTTGTGGGAATCTGTGCTTCCTACACACAAATTTAGTCTCTGTGAAAGTTGTCTTTGTTCCGAGGTGTGGAGGCTCCAGGGGACATTATAAGGTCTTCATTGTAACAAGGCTTATTGTTGTCACCTTATCACTTTGGGATTGTCATGCCAGGGACAAGCAGGAAAAGTAAGGAGGTATTCCCAGTGGCAACTGACCTCATTGTCATGAGAAAGTAGAACTTCCAGTGCTGTTGGGGAAATCCACTGGGGCAGTCCTACCCTTTTTGTTTACATTTTAAGCTGTGAATGGGCAAATACAGAAGGTCTAGTCCAATAGGGACATAGTAGCCAAGGGCTCAGAACTCTCAGAACTCAGAATTTGGTGGGTCTACCAGGCAAATCACCTAGACCAGCAGACATCTTCCCAATACCCTATTTAGGCAACTTTCTCTAGCAATTTTGACAAGCCAGAGGCAGTGACCTGAGTAAGAAAAATTGGTGGGCAGGGTGGACAACATGAAAATCTACGAAAGTACCTTTCACCTGAAAGGTCCCACAACTTTAAGCAGTGTGAGTACCCAATGCCAGGGTCTTACACCATTCACCAGCTCCGCTCTCCAGGTAATGGCCCTCAGCTACAGGTGCACTTTCTTAAGATATATTGACTCTCTCCGCACCCTCTCTTCCTACCCTGGGTGGTCACACTGGTGGTAACTGAGTAGAATGGCAAAGATCTGGTCACTTAGCCTCTAGGAGAAGGAATGCTGTGGTCCCACTCATACTAGCTCAGATGAGGTTGAATTCATTGGTCATACATTTTGACTTAGCTATTCTTCTATCCTACCCTGCTTACCTCAGTGTATCATACGGAGGTGGATTACATCCCAGAAATTCCTTATAAATCACGTGTGTAAGAATCCTTGTTTCAAGTTCTACTTTTAGTGGAGCTAATTCACCTCACACAACCTAGCATACTAACCTCTTAAACCGAGTGTGTAACATGCAGATTAGAGTGTTTTATCCCCTCACTCACAGTCTCTTCCAGCCCAAAGCATTAACTTGTAAACTCTTAACACAGTCTCCAGCTGTGACAGCTTCCAGTCCTACTTCCTTAAAAACAGCATGCTTCAGCATGAAAGTCCATGACCATGGCATCTTCCCCAAACTCAAGATATACTGATATAAAAAGTAAATGTTGCTTTTTTGTTTGCTCAAGATGGATTTGGCTGATTGGGGTCTTTTGTGTTTCCATATGAATTTTAGAAATTTTTTCCTAGTTCTATGAGAAATGCCATTGGAAATTTGATGGGAATTGTATTAAATCTGTCAATGACTTTCAGTAATATGGGCTTTTTCTCATATTAATTTAGCTCATTCATGAGCATGGATTATTTGCATTTTCTAATGTCTTCAATTTTTTTCTTCAGTGTTTTATAATTTTCATTATACAGATGTTTTACAACTTGAGATAGGCTTATTCCTAGTATTAGGTATACTACTGTGAGTTGGATTGTATTCCTGATTTCTTTCTCATTGGGTGATATCAAAACACCTGACATTGGGTGATATCTCAGTGGGTGATATCAAAAAATTTGACTTCAGATTATACTGTCAATCCAATGTAACAAAACAGTGTAGTGCTGGCATAAAAACAGACATATAGACCAAAGAAGTAGAATAGAGGACCCAGAAAAAAACCTACACAGCTGTAACAATCAGATTTTCAACAAAGGTGCCAAAAATACCCATTGGAATAAATACTGTCTTTTACAAGTGGAGTTAGAAAAATGAAAGTCTACATGTAGAAGAGTGAAACTTGATCCCTGCTACCATGTACAAATATCAACTCAAAAGGAATCAAAGAACTTAGTGTAAGACCTGAAACTTTGAAACTAGTAGAAGAAACACAGGAGAGAAACTTCAAGATGTAGATATAGGTAATGGATTTCTGAACAGGACTCCAATAGTCTAGAAAATCATAACAAAAATTGACAAATAGGATTGCTTCAAACTAAAAAGCTTCTGAACAGCAAAGGCAATAATTAAGAGAGTCAAAAACAGCCTATAGATTGGGAGAAAAAGTTGAGATCTTTATATTGGTATACCTGAAAATTTATTTAAGATGTAGGAATAACAGCTCTGGAGAAAATATGTCAGAGAACAAATATTTCCATGGGGTAACAAGATAGGTGGCGGATTTCACAGAATATTCAATCTTGCATTCACTCTGAAGACAAATAGTACTCTGGCAGGAAAAGAGGCAGTATATTTGGAGGTCCAAATCAATCTCAATGGGAGCTGAAGTTTTACAAATGGGCCTTCGTAATTCAGTTCACAGATGGTCTGCATGAAGAATAATGGCTAATGGAGATTAGGAGCCTGCAGAGGAGAGAGCTCAGCAGCAAGAACCACTGCAGCAGCTGGGACGGCAGCCACACAGGCGCCAGGAGGGCAGGAGGCACACAGACTGGCAGCAGGGCCTGCAGCAGCTGGACACAAAACAGCTGGGGCGGCAGCAGGTAGTCCTGCAGCAGGTGGGGTGGCAGCAGCTGGAGGTGCAGCAACTAGGGCGACAGCAGCTGGACACACAGCAGCTGGGATGGCAGCAGGTAGTCCTGCAGCAGGTTGTCTGGCAGCAGATGGGGCGACAGCAAGGCCGGCAGCAGCTGGACACACTGCAGCTGGGCTGGCAACAGCAAGGCCTGCAGCAGCTAGAAATGCAGCAGCTGGGGCGGCAGCAGGGCTGGCAGCAGCTGGACACACAGCAGCTGGGGCGGCAGCAGGTGGTCCTGCAGCAGGTGGGCTGGCAGCAGCTGGGCTGGCAGCAGCCTTGGCCACAGCCCTGCTCAGAGCAGACGGAGCCACAACAGGAGTTGACCATGGTATCAGAGGGTGGAGGTTCTGGGTGGATTTCCAAGAAGATGGGTTGGGAAGTTTGGCGGTCTCCCTGCCCCCAACCCCCTTTTATATCCTGCTGAGGGTCTGCTGTCATCACATGCAACATTCTTTCCTTGTTATTGTTTATGTTAATAAATAGGCGATTATCAAATTAGGCTAAATTGGGTTATTCAAAGTGGATGGAAAACATGATTTCCTTTTCTTGGTATGTTAGGATTATCTATCAGGTTTTACAGAAGTGCCTCGTAAGTGTCTTTCTTGTGTCAGTTCCCCACAGAGACATACCACGTGACTTCTGTGTCAATACATTTACTTTAGTCTCATTGTGTACACCACTTCATGTCACCCATCATGATTCTTGTAGACCCATAATTGTTTCTGGTGACCAGGAGGAAAAAACTGTACTTAAGTCTGATGGCTCATTTGTAGAGGTTCATGTGGGCAGAGTTTTGAATATGTAATACAGTGGTATGAGGACAGGAAGGCCATTAGGACCTGTTCCCTTCCTCACTCCAAATTATAATCCATTTTCTAGACTTTGTATGGGAAACACAGAAATTTTTTAATCTGAATTGTGAAATACTGATTTATTTTGCCAGAAACAAACCTCTAAAAGTCATTCATAGGGTATCTTGGGGGAAGTGGTGGGAATGCTCAGCTCTACCACAAATTTCAGGTCTCTCAATTCTATACTGTGGGCTTCATTTTTTTCCTGGTTTTTGTATCCTGTCTTTCTGGCTTTAACAGGATGTGTCAGCTCATGTCATTTGTTCCCAATATTTATTGTGAACCCAAGTTAGATGACTCAGTGTTGTTGCCTCTTATTCTAATTTACATCCAACATTCCCACTCTCTGTTGAGTTCCTGCTCTATTATTCAGCTGGTGGATTACACTTTCCTCCCCTGCCTAGGTCTCCATTAAAAAAATACCAGTATGAAAACAAAAAGAATCAGAAAGAAGATCTTTAAATTAAGAAAATAAATTATATTTATTTATAATGTGGATACAGCAAAGGCTGAAAAGGTACAAGTACCCATCCCACTAGCTAGATGAATGTTTCCAAAAATGAGGAATGCTGCCAGTCCATTAGGAAGTCTCCTGTTGGGCAAGAAACAGGCAGATATAGACTAGTTGGTAAGTATGTGATTACATCATGAGATGTCTTAATTAAGCCCATTAAAGACAAAGCACATTGCTATATTTTTATCACAAAAATTTGCTTAGCAAGTACTTGATTTACTTGCTTTTATTCATAGGCTTGTGCTTGTAAAGCTGGAGAACATGAATATTTAAACAATTATATGTCTTGAGTAGGGAGATTTTTTTTCCTGAATTTTCTTCATAAGAGGGACGGAGGGAAACCTAAAGACAGAGAAGAAAGTTTTCTTGATTATTAAGGAAGAGGTGATTTAATTCATCTGGGTTAGGTCCTGAGCATAGAAAGCTTTTATGGCTTCTCAGGTTACTCATGGTCAGTAAAAGGTGAGATCCTCCTCCTTAAATTTCCCATATTACATGTATTTCAGTTGAGAACAGAAGTCACGAAAATCATTAAACTTCAATTGGTGGTATGTAAATAATAGAGAAAGTGATTCCAATTTGGAAACAATGAACTTGGAATGCTATAGACTGACACAATGGTAATTCCTATTTTGACTCACTCTAATAACAAAACCAACAGAAAAGGGTCCAATAGGACACAAAGAGCAATGGGAAATTACTATGTGTAGCATGCTGGATGTTTTGAAGAGGAAAATCCAAACCAGGAGAGATGTCACTCTGTATAGTCCTTAATTAAATTTCATGTGTGGCCTAGCAAAATAGAGTGGCCTGTTACTATCAGGCTAGTCACACAAATTGTGCAAACTCTGCCTGAGCTGTACCTAAGTAGTTAGAGTGCCTTTTCTCTGGTATATAATTTTTTTCTTTTTAAACCTTTTTTGTCTTTTTAGAATACATTATGAAGAAATCAGTTAATACCAAGGACATTAGAGTGGACATGATAATATTTGCAAAGATCCTCCAGAAACTAGGTTATGTCTACCAGTAACTTGAGCATATAATGATACTATATCCTTTAAAATATGCGTGTTAAAAGCATAATTTTCTAGTCAGAAAGTATTCATTCATACAATAGTGGATTATAAGGTTTTACTTATAAAGCTCTAGATATACTGATATTAAAAAAACAAACAACAAGCTGGGAACCAGTGACTCACACCTGTAACCCTAGCTACTCAGGAGGCAGAGATCAGGAGGATTGGGGTTCGAAGTCAACCCCAGGCAAATAGTTCACAAGACCCTATCTTGAAAAAACCCTTCACAAAATACCGCTGGTGGAGCTCAAGGTATAGGCCCTGAGTTTAAGTCCCTGTACCAAAAAAAAAAAACAAAAAAAAAGACAAGGATAGCTTAGTGGTAGAGCATTTTCATAAAAATAAATAAAGCAAAAGTTATATTTCTTTTTTGCTCCAGATCTCTGCTGATATTCAGTATGAACTTCGGCATTGCCTCTTCTGGTTCAGTGAGGAATGTCATTGAAATTTTGATGGTGGTTGCGTTAGATCTGCAGACAGATTTCAGTAATATGGCCATTTTCACAAACTAATTCTGCTTATCCATGAATATAGGATGTCCTTCCATCTTCTGATGTCTTCTGCCATTTCTTCCTTCATTGTTTTATGATTGTCATTGTAGTCTTTTATCTGCATTTTAATGGGTTGCATTATGACATTTTCATACATATATAAAATGTACTTCAATCTTATTCATACCCCTCATTACTCTCTCTTTTCTCCCATCTCATTGGTCCCCTTCCTCTTCCCTAAGAGTCCCCCTTCTACTTTTTACTTTCATGTCTTTTTTTAAAAAATAGATTCTTCATATGAGAAAAGGCTGCAATATTTGTCTTTCTGAGTCTGGCTTATTTCACTTTCCCTCATGATTTCCAGTCCCATCCATATTCCTGAAAATGACACAATTTTGTTCCTTTTGTTAACTGAATAAAGTCGATTATAACGTGCTATATATACCACATTTTCTTTTCCCAGTCATCTGTTCATGGATACTTAGGCTGAATCCATAACTTGGGTACTCTGAATACTGCTGCAATAAACACGGTTATGTGGATATCTGTATTTTATGCTCTTTTAATTCTTTGGGTATATACCCAGAAGTGATAAAACTGGGTCATATGGTAGTTCTATTTTAAATTTTTTGAGGAAAGTCCATATTGATTTCTATAGTGGCTGAACTAATTTACATCCCCACTAACAATGTATTAGGGTTCCTTTTTCCCTACATACTTGCAAGCATTTCTTGTTGTTTATTTTCTTGATGACAACCATTCTAACTGATGTGAGATGGAATATCAATAAAGTTTTGATTAGCCTTCCTTTAATGGCTAAAGACATTGAACATTTTCCAATGTGTTTATTGGCCATTTGTACTTCTTCTTTTGAGAACTGTCTTTCCAATCATTTTCCTGTTTATCAATTTGATATGTTCTTTTGTTGTTTAATTTTGTGTCATTATATATTCTGCACATTGATCTCCTGTCAAATGATATTCTGTGAGCTGTTTCTTCAATCTAGCAATTTTTTCATTTGCTGTGCATAAGCTTTTCAATTTAATGCAATCTTATTTGTTAGTACTTACTGTTATTTTCTGAACTATTTCAGAAAGTAGTTACATATGCCTATTTCTTGAAGCATTTGCCCACGTTTTCCTCTAGTAGTTTCAGTTTCTGGTCTTACATTAAGTTGTTCTATCCATTTTGATTTGATTTTTTATACAAGGTGAGAGATAGGGATCCAGTTTCAATCTTCTACATATGAGTATCCAGTTTTCCCAGCACCATTTGTTGAAGAGGCTGTCTTTTATTAATGTATGTTTTTAATACCTTTGTGGAGAATCAGGTGGCCATAACTGTGTAGGTTTATTTCTGTGTGTTCTATTATATTCTGTTCTGTTTGTGAGGTTCTTTGTTACTGCCTTCATCTCACTGCTCATTATAGATCTGTTTAGGTTATTTCTTCTTAGTTCAATTTTAGTAAATCCTATGTATGTAGAAATGTACCCATTTCTTCTAATTTTCTAGTTTAATGAGATACAAGTTTTCAAAATATTCCCTAATGATGTGCTATAATAACCCCCTTCTCATCCCTAATTTTGTTAATTTGGGGCCTTTTCTCACCTTCTTTTGGTTAGGTTGGCTAAAGGTTTGTCTTTCTGTTTATCTTTTCAAAGAACCACTCTGTTTTGTTGATCCTTTGTGTTTTTCTTTTATCTCCATTTCATTAATTTCTGTCCAGAACTTATTATTTCTTTCATCTACTAATTTGGAGCTTGGTTTATTCTTATTTTTCTAAGATCTTGAAGTATATCAATAGGTAATTTATTTGAGGTCTCTCTGATTTTTTAAATAACTTTTTTGGCAGTACTGGGATTTGAACTGAGGGCCTCAGGCTTGCTAAGCAGGCACTCTACCACTTGAGCCACTTCTCCAGCCCTAGATCTTTCTGATTTTTTTTTTAATGTAGGCACTCAAAGTTATAAACTTCCTCTTAGAATTGCCTTCATTATATTCCAAATGTTCTGGTAAGTTGTGTTTTCATTTTTCATTCACTTTTAGGAGTTTTTACATTTCTTCCCTGATTTGATCAGTGATTCATGGATTATTCAAGGTTGTATTGTTTGATCTCCATGGGTTCGTGTACTTTCTGTAGTTTCTCTTACTATCAGTTCCTATTTTTAATCCATTATGATCTGATAAGATACAAGAAATTATTTCATTTTCTAAATAATTGCTAAGACTTCTTTTGTGGCCTAAAATGTGATCCATTTTTGTAGAAAATTCCATGGGTTGCTAAGAATAATGTGTATTCTGCGTCTGTTGGATGGAATACCTTATAAATGTCTACTAAGATGTTTTGATCTGTGGTGCCATCTAACTGTTAAGTTTCAGGGGTTTTTTTTTGTCTGTGTGATCTATTGATGAGAGTGTGATATTGAAATCGCCCACTACTGTATGTGGACCTATCTGTCCCTTTATATCCAGTAGTGTTTGTTTTAAGAAATTGGGTGCACCAACACTTAGTGCATAAATTTTTACAAATGTTATATCTTCTTGATAGATCATTCTCTTTATTAACATGTAGTGACCTTCCTTATTGCTGCTAATTAAGTGATTTAAAGTCCGCTTTGCCAGATATGGGTATAGCTAGTCCTATTTATTTTCAGAACTCATTTTCTTGGAATATTTTTTCCAACTTTTGTTGGAAAAGACCCAATGCAGAGGTTTAATAGAAAGTGGTTTTACTTGGGAAATGATTATAGAAAGCATTGTAGAGAACATTTGAAATGATCCAGGGCAGGGAGGAAGTTATTACAGAGTAAAAGGAAGACCAAAACATGTCAGGGGCAGCTGGGCTTCAATCTCACTGAACTCCTTAGGAAACAGGAGCAATATACATCCACGGAAGGGGAGGTAAGCTTGGGCACATGCTTGCCAGCTCCATTTCACTTGTTGAACACTGCTCTTAGGGGCTTTACTTCTCCCCCCTGCCGCTTGCTCTTCATCCACAGGAAATCCTCAGCAGAGAGTTTCAGACACTGACTCTATGAAATGGTCTTCCTGTATTAGAATGACAGGTGCTAAGGGAACTGAGCTAGCTGACCTGAAATCATTTGTTAAGGCCTTTTCATTAATTAAAGATGAGTTTAAAAAAATGACATATGAAGACAAGGAAAAAGAATGAAAAATAAGGAGACATGATGCTGTTATATTTAGTTGCCTGAAAATTCATATTTATTTATGATGTAGGAATAACATTTGACAAAATATGTCAGAGAACAAATATTTAAGATAATTAACAGATTCAGAGAAAATTCAAACTTGCATTCATTCTGGAGACAGATAGTAACCTGGTAAGAGAGGAGCAGTATATTTGGAGACTTGAAATCTATCCCAATGAAAACTGAGGTTTTACAATTGGCCTCTCATGATCAGCTCACAAATGGTCTACATGAAGAATGTTGACTGGTGGAGACCAGGAGTGTACAGGTGAGAGCGCTCAGCAGCAAGAACCACTGCAGCAGGTGGGGTGGCTGCAGGGCTGGCAGCACACAGACTGGCAGGAGGGCCTGCAGCAGCTGGACACACAGCAGCTGGGATGGCAGCAGGTGGTCTGGCAGCAGATGGGATGGCAGCAGCAGGAGACGCAGCACTGGGGCCTACAGCAGCTGGACACACAACAGCTGGGGCAGCAGCAGCTTGGTTGGCAAAAGCAAGGCCTGCAGCAGCTAGAAATGCAGCAGCTGGGGCGACAGCAGGTGGTCCTGCAGCAGGTGGTCTGGCATCAGCTGGGACGGCAGGAAGGCTGGCAGCACACAGACTGGCAGCAGGGCCTGAAGCAGCTGGACACACAGCACCTGGGTTGGCAGCAGGTAGTCCTGTAGCAGGTGGTCTGGCAGCAGCTGGGTTGGCAGCAACCTTGGCCACAGCTCTGCTCAGAACAGACAGAGCCACAACACGAGTTGACCATGGTGTCAGAGGATGAAGGTTCTGGGTAGGTTTCCAAGAAGGTGGGTTGGGAAGTTTGGAGGTCTCCCTGTCCCCAGTCTCCTTTTATACCCTACTGAGGATCTGCTGTCATTACATGCAGCATTCTTTCCTTGTTATTGTTTGTGTTTAAAAAATAGGTGATTATTAAATTAGGTAATTTTATTTCCTGGTTAAGTATTCAGCATGGATGGAAAACATGATTTCCTTTTCCTGATGTGTTAGGATTCACGGGTCGGCTCTTGCACCTTCTGAGTGTATTTCTTGCTTTAGGTCCTCAGAGAGGGTTGTCACAGTGCATTCTGTGTTTTGGTGCTGTGCACTTCAGTCTGAATGTGTTTAGTACCTCCTGTCTATCCTTGTTAATAATGATTCTTGTAGGCCTATAATTGTTTCTGGTGACCCAGAAAGAAAAAACGTTTGAGTTTGATGGCTCATTCATAATGGGCAAGTCATCAAAGAAGGTTTGAAGGTAAAGGCCAGTGGTATGAGAACAGGAAGGCCATTGTGCTGTCCCTTTCCCCCTGTGAATTATGATCTACTTTCTAGATTTTTTTATGGAAAAAACAGGGTTATTTCAAGGTGTAAAACTGAGTGGTGAAATGCTGACTTTTTTTCCTTTCTTACTTTCTTTGTTTTTATTTTTTCACCAGAGACAACCTTTAATAGTCTCTATAGGTCATTTTAGGAGAAGTGGACTACAGAGCTCAGCTATACCTAAAGTTCAAGTTCCTTAGTTCTCCATTGTGGGCTTGTTTTCCTTCTGGTTTTGGCATTCTGTATTTCTGTGTTTAACAAGGCATGGTGACTACTGTCTTCTTTTTCCAAGATTGACTTTCCAACCCAGGTTAGATGAGCCAATGTTGTTCCCTCTTGTTCTGATTTATACCCAATAAATATCCCTGCTCTCTGTTGAGTTCGTGAAAGCTGTTGATCCCTTAGATTTCAAGCCTCATTATTCAAGTAATTATTAGCCCTCCCTCTCAGGACTTCATTTTAAAGCATTATAAAAAGAAAACAACAATAAACATATATAAATGAAATTATTTCAGATCCCATTTACTTGTAGACACAGTAAAGTCTTAAAGGGTACAAAAATGTCAATTCTTTGGCCAGGTGATTGGTGTTTCTAAAAATGAGAAATGCCACCCGTCTTTCAGTTTGTTCCCTGTAGATCAAGAAAAAGGCAAACAGAGCCTAGCTGGTAAATACTTGATGACATCATTAAAAGTCTTCATTAAGAACATTGAAGACCAAGTCCATTGCAATACTTTTATTCCATTAACTTGTTTAGCTACCCTCCATTTACTTGCTTTTAATCTTAAGCTTATGCTTGTAAAGCTGGACATCCTGAAAGATTGGGGAGATTTTTCACTGGATTTTCTGTATAAGGGGACAGAGGAAAAATAATGACATAGAAGAAATAATTTATAATTAAGGGGGAGTTATACAATTTTAGGGAATTTAAGAAAGCCCTTTCCCCACACTTCAAAAAGTCAGAGTACATCCATACCATAGACCAATGTATAGATAATCACAACCAGTTGGGCACCTTTCCTACAGCCCTCTATTCAAGGAAGAGTAGAATATCTATGTATTTAAGTGCTGTTTAATAGCAGACCAGAGTTGACACTGTCAAGTGGACATGAAAAAGCCAGCATGTGTGGTTCCCATTAGAATCTGGCAATGGTGGTTGAAAAATAAATGGGGCCTGGCCCAGGTCAGTTTCACAGTCTGTCTAGTGGATCAACATACACACCTGATGGTCATTTTCTTATTTCGCAAATGTAAAATCCAGCACATTCTTCCTTTGACCTATTAAGTAAGAACTGTTATAATAGAAAATGCCACATGAAGCCCCTGGAATAGCCTTACCCCCACCACCATCCCATGATAAGCTATCAATAAAAATTAGAGTTTAAAGTCACCTTCAAAGATGGAAAATGCAAGGTTGGTGAATCCCATCATATTACCACAAGATTCACTAGTTTAACCCCCAGAAAAAGGCAGACAGATCATAACAAATGAGAGTGAAAGATCACTAGACTTATCCATGGTAGCTGATGTGCAGATACAGAATCTTGACTAAAGAAGGTTCACACAGTCTGTGGTATAGGATGTGGAAACTGAATTGACAAATGGAACCTTTAAAATACCAGAGGAAAAAGGCAAGGTGGAGGTTGATCCAGGTCATATGGAACAAATAGCAGTATAAATTCACTCTGTGAGAGTGAGTTCATTTTCTCTGTAGTAATATAGTCCAAAGCTCCATAGTCCTTCTGAACATCCTACAGACATCATATTGACATGTCATCACACTAGAAACACACATCACAAGAAACATGTTTACTGTGGATACCTCGGTACAATACATGCACTCCAGAAGATTGGAGATAAATCTGAAAAAGATTTCCAGGATTGCCATAGTGGCACAATAGCAGGACATTCTCTGTTGATACCTGACCTTTCAGTAGAGAGTAACACAAAGCCCCTGTGAGGTAACATCCACTGAGTACACCAGAAATTTACTTGTTTCTGACTGTGAATCACATTAGTTGGATAAGGGTCTGCCTTTTCAGCCTGCAGTGCCTTAGTCAGCACTTTTATATGGGAACCCAGAGCATTTAAAGTAGCATCAAGTACTTGCATCTGCAATCAGCAGACTCCCTATACAGCAAGGGATGTGAGACAATGAACGTAGAACCATTGAATCCACTGGCCTACTTTATATTACACCATCCAGAAATCAGTGGACTGATATTGTAATGTCACTATATCTTGAAGCCATGGTTAAGGTGACAACATAGAGATAACACCCTCTGAGGATGGAGCACTATCCTTCAGAATGCAGTATATACCTTAAACCGATGGCCATTATACGGAGGTGTGTTTCCAATAGTTAGAATACAATAACACAGAAACCAAGATGTTGAAAGATGAGCTGCCTTGATCAACTACACTCTTGGTGATCCATTTGGGGAATCTTGCGTCCTCCACCTAAACTTAGGCATTGTGTACATAGAGGTCTTTGTTGTGGAGATGGAAGATGCAAGGTGACATTGTTAGGGTCCCATGGGAAAGAAAGTTATTGTTGTCAACTTATCACTCTGGGATTCTGTTGCCAGTGGGAGAGCAGACAAGGTAAGGAAATTTTCCTAGGGAAACTGTCTTCCTCATTGTCATGAAGAAGAAGGAGCACTGCTACACAGTGAGATCAGGGAAGAAAATATTTAGCAATACAGGATCAACAAGGAGAGTTCTGGCATTTCTAGTTCCATTTTTTCTCTGTGAATGGGTACAGCTGATAAGTACATGTTAATCATGGGTTCAGACCTCTCAGGAAATGAACAGGTGACTCTCCCATGCAAGTCTCCTAGATCAGCAGAAGTGTTGCCACCAACTCTCCTCTGTTTCTCCCAATATTGAGCCCATTTGGTGGCAGTAACTTGAATAAGAGAAATAGGTGAATTCACATAGTAATCAAGGCAGACAACATACCCAGATATTTTTATCCTAAATGTTCCCATCACCAAGCTAATGTGAGTGCACCAGGCAGGTAGCTCACATATTCACCTGCTCCATTCTCTAGGTAATTGTCATCAGGTACAGGTTCCACTTTCTATAGACATATCAGCCCTGTCTATACTCTTTCCTCTGGCCCTTGCTATTCCATAGCTAGTATCAACTAAGTAGCAGCCACCTTGCCTCCTGATCACATTCTAGAGTTCTCTTTTGGTCAGATGAAGTAAAATTCATCAAAATTCCATTTTGACTCTGCTGTTTCTACCCCCTATCCATCCTGCTTTCTTCAGCATCTTAAAGTATGCCCCCCACAAACAGCATTTCCTTACAAATGACATGTACAAGAACCCCTGTTTCAGATTCAGCTTTTGGTGAATCCATTCTACCCCCACAAAATTAGCAAAATTATCTAATTTTCTTATTCTGCAACACACACTTTAGGTTTATTTCTTCTTCCAGACAGTCTCCAGCTGGCCACAGATTAAGTCAGTACACCCTTAACAGAATCTCCTCCACCACCAGCTTTAGGCAGACTACTCCAAGCACAGTATCTTTAGCATGATACTGACTCCCATGGCCCAAGCTCTAAATGTAATCATTTTGAAAGCAAACAACAACCAGAAGATTGAAAAAAAAAAAAAACTATGTAGCAACAAATGTTCAACAATTGGAAGATTTACCAGTTCAGTAGGCAGCAAGCTCAAGAGTTCACCTTATTCCTTTTCAACCATTCATATTGTTTGAAGAATGTGTGGAAGGGCAGGGAGACTGAGATGAAGAACTTGAGTGGCTTCAACTATGTGCCCTCTATGAAACATCCAATACAGATGTTTGAGACAAATAATGCCAAGAAGAATTATAGGGAAGTTGGGAGATGACCCAGGGCAGAAAGGTACATGATGAGTAGAATACTTTTGGGGAAACTGGGCTCCCACCCCACTGAGGACCTCACAGACACTGAGTTGACATGTCTGCTAAAGAAGAGGTGAAGTGGAGCACATGTTCACCAACCTGTCACTGGTTTAGCTCTGCTCCTACAGGCTTTAATTCTTCTGTCTGGAGCTTGCTCTTCAACCGGAGAAAGCCGTCAGCAGAGAGTTCCAGGCACTGGTTACATGAAGTCATCTTCCTGTATTAGAATGACAGGTGCTGAATGAACAGAGCTGGCACACTAGAAATCCATTGCTATGGTTCTCTCATTATTTAAATAAGCTTAAAAAATTGACAGAAGAGGATAACAAATCAAGAAGGAAAGAAACTAAGGAGACAGGTTCATTTTGTATGCTGGCAAAATTAAAATTTATTTAAGAGATAGGAAAAATCCCATATGAGAAAATGTAATAGAAAACAAATATTTCCATGCAGGTAGCATGACAGTTGTCAGATACCAGAGTATATTCAAATTTGTGTTCATTTTGGAGAGAGATGGTAACTTGGCAAGAACGGGAGCAGTATATTTGGAATCTGAAATCAATCCTAATGGGAGCGAGGTTTTACAACCGGCCCCTCATAATGCAGTTCAGTGAATGGATGGTTTAACATGAAGAATGTTGGATGATGGGGACCAGGAGCGTGCAGGTGAGAGCACTCAGCAGCAAGAACCACTGCAGCAGGGGCGGCGACAGCAGGGCTGGCAGCACACAGACTGGTAGCAGGGGCGGCAGCAGCTGGACACACAGCAGCTGGGGCGGCAGCAGTTGGTCCTGCAGCAGGTGGTCTGGTAGCAGATGGGGCGACAGCAAGGCCGGCAGCAGCTGGACACACAACAGCTGGGGCGGCTGCAGCTGGGCTGGCAACAGCAAGGCCTGCAGCAGCTAGAAATGCAGCAGCTGGGGCGGCAGCAGGGCTGGCAGCACACAGACTGGCAGCAGGGCCTGCAGCAGCTGGACACACAGCAGCTGGGGCGGCAGCAGGTGGTCCTGCAGCAGGTGGGCTGGCAGCAGCTGGGCTGGCAGCAGCCTTGGCCACAGCCCTGCTCAGAGCAGACGGAGCCACAACAGGAGTTGACCATGGTATCAGAGGGTGGAGGTTCTGGTGGGTTTCCTAGAAGGTGGGTTGGGAAGTTTGGAGGTCTCCCTGCCCCCTGCCCCCAATGCCCTTTTATACCCTGCTAAGGGGCTGCTGTTGTCACATGCAGCATTCTTTCCTTGCTATTGTTTGTTACTAAATAGACGATTATCAAATTAGGCAAGTTTATTTTCCTGTTAAATTTTGAAGGTGGATGGAAAACATGATTTCCTTTTCCTGCTGTGTTAGGATTCATGTGTCAGCTCTTGCAGAAGCACCTCCTAAGTTTCTTTCTTGCTTTAGTTCCTCAAAGAGTCCTGTCAGGTGACATTCTGTGTCTCAGTATGTCACATGCAGTATTCTTTGGTCTCATTGTGTCTAACACAATGTCTACCATCAGACAAGCATGGTTCTTGTAGGCCTATAATTGTCACTGGTGACCCATGAGGATAAAGCTGCACTTGAATCTGATAGCTTATTGATAAAGGCTCAGGTGGGCAAAGAAGGCTTAAAGGTAGAAGACCACTTGCAGGAGAACAGGAAAGCCACTAGGATGTGTTCCCTTTCCTGCTGTGAATCATGATCCATGTTTTAACATCCCATGGGAAACATAGAACTATTTTAATTTGGAAAAATAAATGGTAAAATGGGGGGTTTTTTTTTGTCAGAAACGAACCCCTACAACTTATTTTTGGGATGTTTTGGGGGAAATGAGTTGCAATGCTCTGCTATAACATGAAGTCTAAGTCGCTCAATTTTGCACTGTAGACTTCTTTTCCTTCTGTCTTTGGCATCCTGTCTTTCTGGCTTTAACAGGACATGTGGTCTCCTGTCCTTTTTCTCCAAGATTTACTTGCCAACCCAATTTTGGTGATCCACTGTTGTTTCCTTTATTAAATAATTATACCTGACCTTCCTGCTCTCTGTTGAGTTCCCAAGCCCTGTCTGTACACAAGACTTTTGCTTCAGTATTCAAGTGGTTGATTACACTTCTCAGGTCTTCATTTAAAAATAAACAGTATAAAAAGAAAGAAAGATGGAAAACAGACATCTAGATTAGGAACATCATCTCCCATTTACTTATAGTGTGAATATAACAAAGGCTGAAAGGGTACAAAAATTCCCATCCAATAGGCAGGGTGATTAGTTTTTCTAACAATGAGGATACCAGTCTGTCAGTTGATCCACTGTGAGTCAAGAAACAGGTCAACAGAGACTAGTTGGTACGAATATGATGACATCATTAAATGTCTTCATTAAGCTCATTTAATGGTCATTGCAATATTTTTTTAACTTGCTTAGCAAACACTTCACTTGCTTTGATTCATAGGCCTCTGTTTCTAAAGCTGAAAAACGTGAAATATTCAAACAATTGAATGTCTTGAATGGGGAGGGATTTTACTGGATTTGCTACATAAGAGGGACAGAGGAAAATACAGACATAGAAGAAAGGCTTCTTGATTATTAGGGGAGAGGATTCTATACAAATTATGGAGATTAAGAAAGCTATTTCCACACAGCTAGGAAGGCAGAAGACATTCTATTTTAGAACAATGCATGGACTATCGTAGCTCCTCAATCATGGGTTCTCACAGTTGTTTGCATGGTGGAATTACCTGCAGAGAGTAAAAAACTGCCAAAGGCCTGGTATGGGGGCTCACACATATAATCCCAGGTACTTAGGAGGCAGAGATAGGGAGAATCAGTTTGAGTACAGCCTGTGCACAAAGTTGACAGATCCCATCTCAACAAATAAGCTGGCTGAGTTGGTGGTGCATGTGTGTGGTTCCCACTACACAGGAGGCACAAGTAGGAGAATTGTCATCTGAGGCTAGCCCTGAGCAAAACACAAGATTCTATTAAAAAAACAATGAAAGCATAAAATGGCTGGGACTGGTGCTCAAGTGGTAGAGTGCCTGCCTAGTAGGCACAAAGCTCTGATTTCAAATCCTAAGTACCCCTCAAAGTAAAAAACAAACAAACAAAAAACACCTGCCAATGCCTGGTTCCTGCCAGTAACAATTTTGATTTAATTCTTCCATCTTAGGACCTAGATGCAGAAACTTTTAAAGATCCTGGGGTTACCCTAATGGGGAGCAAAGCTTGAGAGTCAGGCCTCCTTAAATTGTCCATATTGCATTCACCTGTGTCGATTTCAACTGAGAGCAGAAGTCAAAAATAATTAAACTTCAATCGATGTCATCTAAATAATTGAAGAAATGATCTTGAATTGAAAACACTGAACTTTGAGCCGGTAGACTGATAAACACATAATGCTTTCTTACTTTGGCTCAATCTAATACCAGAACTGACAGAACCATATGGATGAGAATGGACCAATTAGGCACGAAGCACAATGGAAAGTTTCTATAGACACTAGACTGGAATTTTTGACAGGGAAACTCAAAACCAGGAGTGACATTACCCTCTATGTCTTTGCTAAATTTTATCTGAAGTCTAATGACACAGAATGGAAAATTAAGAGTATACATACAAATTATTATATGCAGTCTACTGAACTGTGCCTCTTTTATTACATAGACTAGTAGATGGGGAGCAATTTTTCCTGCTACATAATTTATTTTTAATGGCTTTATTTGTGTTTCAGAATAGTCTTATAAAGAACTCAATTAAATAAACAACCAAGAAAATTACAAAAGAGCGGACAAAATTATATTTGCAAAGAACATCCTGAAACTTATTTCTGCCAATAATTTTAAAACACAATGATAGTATATCCTTTAAAAAAAACAGCATGATGAAATAGACTTTTTTGTCAGATATTGCTAATTATTGTGCTAATACAAAATCAAATTTTAAAATAAATCCCCACTACATATTTTGTCTATAGTTACAATGCATTAACATTTGGTGAGCTACAAAGTTTTAATTATAGTATCAATACCTAAGTAGAGACAACTACAATAGCCATGTCTAATTGACAGGATAATTAACATACTTTCACTTCTCAATTAAGTTACTTTATAACAAAAATCATGCTCCCTTTGATTATTTATGATTATATGTTAGACAATATTACCAGGCTTGATATGATGTGGTGTTTGTATTCAGAGAAATATTTAAGATGATGGAAATGCCCATAACCATTGATTGTAATTCTCTTTGTTCTGAAACTGTCATCATGCATTGCTTAATCAATTTTTCTTTTAAGCTTCATATTTCCCTCTCATCAAATGTATTGTTGGAAGTATCACAATACCCTACCTAAACTACACTACTGGGTCATATAAACAAAAACACCATAGTGTGTAGATATGTAGGCCAAGTGAATAGAATTAAAGACTTCAGGAATACACCCACACCAGACAGCCACCTGATTTTTGACAGTTTCTTTAATAATTTATTCTTGGAAAGCTGGCTTTCCATATACAGGCAGGAGACTGAAGCTAGATCTTTTTTGTCACTGTGTATGAAAATCAATACAAAATGAATCAAAGACCTTAATTTAATCACTGAAAATCTGAAACTAGTAGAGGAAACATAGGGGAAACACTTTGAGATATAGTTACAGGCAATGACTTCCTGAATAGGACTCCAATAGTTCAGAAAATAATAGCAGGAATTGAAAAATGGGATTGCATTAAACTAAAAACTTCTGTGCAGTAAGTGAAAAAGTTAGAGTGAAGTGGTCTATCACTTCATGAGAAGTGAATGAGAGACATTATTTGCCAGCTATCCATCTGATAGGGGATTTACATCCAGAATATGTAAATAATTCAAAACTTAAGCATCAAGAAGCCTAATCAAAAATGGGCAAATGAACTAAACAGATCTTTTATTTATTTATTTATTTATTTATTATTCATATGTGCATACAATGTTTGGGTCATTTCTCCTGCCTTACCCTGTCCCCTCCCTTACCACTCCCCCCCACCCCCTGCTCCCTGCCTTACCCCCCCAACCCCTCTCTACCAGGCAGAAACTATTTTGCCCTTATCTCTAATTTTGTTGAAGAGAGAGTATAAGCAATAATAGGAAGGACCAAGGGTTTTTGCTAGTTGAGATAAGGATAGCTATACAGGGAGTTGACTCGCATTGCTTTCCTGTACATGTGTGTTACCTTCTAAGTTAATTCTTCTCAAACCAACTTTTTCTCTAGTTCCTGGTCCCGTTCTTCTATTGGCCTCAGTTGCTTTAAAGTATCTGCTTTAGTTTCTCTGCTTTGAGGGCAACAAATGCTATCTAGTTTTTTGGGTGTCTTACCTAACCTCATACCTCCCTTGTGTGTTCTCGCTTTATCATGTGATCAAAGTCCTATCCTCTTGTTGTGTTTGCCCTTAATGTCTGCATATATGGAAGAACATACGATTTTTGGTCTTTTGGGCCAGGATAACTCACTCAGAATGATGTTTTCCAGCTGAACAGATCTTTTAAATGAAGAAACCCAAATGGCCAATAAACACATGTAAAAATGTTTGACTTCTCTAGCCTTCAGGGCAATGCAAACCTTCTACAATGAGACTCCAATCATTAGCTACCAACAAGAAAACAAAAACAACCTTGTTTATGAAGATATAGGAGGAAAAAAGAACACTTATGCATTGCAGATAAGAATGAAAATTAGTACAGCCATTACAGAAATTGGTATGGAAGTTCCTCAAAAAACTAAAAATAAAACTACCAGTTATACACTCCTGGGTATATACCCAAAGGAATCAAAGACAGCACAGAACACAGACGCATGTGTACTCACAGTTATTGTGATATTATTCAAAATACCATAGCTATGGAATCAGTCTCAGAACCTATCAACAGATGAATGCACACAATGGAAGATTGCTCACCTATTAAGAAGAACCAAATCATGTCTTTTGCAGGATAACAGATAGAACTGAACATCATCGTGTTAAGTGAAATAAGCCAGACTCAGGTAGACAAGTATTCAGATTTTCACCATATAGACAATCTTTAAAAAAAAAGATCTGAAAGTCTATTAGAATGTGGAAGGGGACCAGCGGGAGGGGGATGAGAGATAACTCTAATAGTAGAGGTATATACGATCAAAGTAATAAACATATGAAAATGTCATAATGAAACCATTTAGGCAGTGTAATTGTGTATGTCTGTAATCCTAGCACTTGGGAGGCAGAAGCTGGAGGATAACAAGTTTAAGGCCAGCCTGGAAACAATAAGACCGTCTCTCACACTTACAAAGAAAGAAACTCACTATTTTTTTACAATTATATACATTAATCAAAATATTTTTAAAAACAAACAACAAAAAGACTTTAAAAAACTAAACTAAGAGCAATTGTACAGAAATTGGAAAGAGGATATAGCAACTAGTTCAAAATATTTACCAGTTTAGTGGATAGTAAACCCAAAAGTTGGCCGTATAGTGTGGTAACCATCTATATTGTGTTTAAAATGCAGTGAAAGACACAGATAAGAAAATTAGGAACATGGGTGTCTTAGACTGTGCCCTCTGGAACAGACCCAATGCAGAGGCTTAACAGAAAGTAGCTTACTTGGAAAATGATCCTAGAAAGCATTGTAAGGGATATTTGAAATGATCCAGGGCAGGGAGGAAGTCAATAGAGAGTGATATGAGGAGCAGAATATATCAGCAGACAGCTGGGCTTCAATCCCACTGAGCATCTTTGCAAACAAGAAGGATATACATCTACTCAAAGGGAGGCAGGATGGAGCACATGCTCACCAATACTGGGATCGCACTGGTCCTTGACCCAAAAGGGCTCATATTGAGAGGGCCAGAAGGCTGATGACCAACTGGCAAATTTTAATTTTTCTCAGCATGCTTTATACAAAAGAGGAAGAGACTTAAACATCAAAAACACTCTGACCTAGTTTCAACCTTTCTGTTTTGGCTACCCTGCATTCTTCTACCAGTGTTCTTGACTAAGGATAAACTTCTTTTCAGTCAAGGGAAACCATCTAGGGTTTCTTCCCACCATGATAGAGGCATGGTGCACTTGCAGATTCTGACCTTCTCAGAATGCAGCTAAGCGGAAACGACCTTGTCAGATTGCAGCTCATGGATTCCAACACACCAGCTCCTTTCAGTAGGTTGAACTCAGCTCTTAGATTTACTTCTTCTGCATGCAACTTGCTCTTCAACCAGAGAAAGTCCTCAGCAAAGAGTTCCAGATGCTGACTCTATGAAACCATCTTTCCATATTGTACATGGAAAGAGGTGCTGAGGGAACAGAGCTGGCACATGTGAAATTGTTTGCTGTGGTCTTTTCAGTATTTGGAGATGAGCTAACAAAATATTGACAGACAATAACAAGAAATCAAGAAGGACAAATAAGAAGACATGATGTTTTTATATTTGTATGCATGCAAAATTCAGATTTATTTAAGATGTAGGGAAAACAGAATTTGACAAAATATGCCAGAGAACAAATATTTCCATGGGGGTAACATGAGAGTTGACAGATTTCAGAAAAAATTCAAACTTGTGCTCATTTTGGAGAGAGTTGGTAACCTGGCAGGAGAGAAGGGAGGTATTTGGAGGCCCAAATCCATCTCAGTGGGAACTGAGGATGTACAATTGGCCCTCCATGATTCAGCTCACAAATGGTCTACATGAAAATGTTGACTGATGGAGACCAGGAGCGTGCAGGGGAGAGCACTCACCAGCAAGAACCACTGCAGCAGGTGGGGCGGCAGCAGTGATGGCAGCAAACAGACTGGTAGCAGAGGTCGCAGCAGCTGAACACACAGCAGCTGGGGCGGCAGCAGGCGATCCTGCAGCAGGTGGTCTGGCAGCAGATTGGGCGACAGCAGGAGGAGGTACAGCAGCTAGGGCGGCAGCAGAAGGGCTGGCAGCACACACACAGACTGGCAGCAGGGCCTGCAGCTGCTGGACACACAGCAGCTGGGTTGGCAGCAGGTGGTCCTGCAGCAGGTGGTCTGGCAGCAGCTGGGCTGGCAGCAGCCTTGGCCACAGACCTGCTTAGAGCAGATGGAGCCACAACAGGAGTTGACCATGGCGTCAGAGGATGCAGGTTCTGGTGGGTTTCCAAGAAGTTTGGTTAGGAAGTTTGGAGGTCTCTCTGTCCCCAATGTCCTTTTATATCCTGCTGAAGGACTGTTATCATCACACACAGCATTCTTTCCTTATTATTGTTTGTGTTAATAAATAGGTGATTATCAAATTAGGTTAAATTAGGTTATTCAAGGTGGATGGAAAACATGATTTCCTTTTCCTGCTGTCTTAGGATCATCTATCAGCTCTTGCAGAAAGAAGAACCTCCTAAGTGTCTTTCTTTCTTTACTTCCTCAAAAAGACATGTCATGTGACAACCTCTGTCTCCGTATATATAACATACAATATGCTTTGGTCTCACTCAGCGTGTCTAACACATCCTGTGTACCCTCAGGTAATCATGATTCTAGTAAGCCCATATTGTTTCTGGTGACTTGGGAGGAAAAGGTATATTTGGATCTTATGGTTCATTCATGATTGGTCAGGTGGGCAACGAACATTTGAATGTGAAAGACCACTGGCACAAGAGCAGGATGGACATTGGGACAGGTGCCTTTCTCCACTGTGAATCATGATCCACTTCCTATATTTTTTTATGGGAATCACAGGACAGGCAAAAAACTGATGGTAAAATGTTTCTTTTTCTTTTTTGCAAAAAGTAATCCTCTAAAAGTCATGTCAAGGGCATCTTTGGGAAAATGGGCTACAAAGCTCTGCTATGCCATGAAGTTTAGGTCCCTAAACTCTACACTGTGGAGTTTTCTCCTAGCTTTGGCATCTTGATCCTTTTTTTCCAAAATTTCTTAGCCAAGTCGAGTTAGATTACCCAGTGTTGTTGCCTCTTATTTTAATTTATACCCAACATTCCTGCACTGTATTGAGTTCCTGAATCCTGTACTGAACGCTCCTGCTTTATTATTTAAGTGGTTGAATACACTTCCCTACTCAAGTAAAAAAAAAAAGACAATATAAAATGAAAGAACAATAATAAACATTTATCTAGATGCTAATTATTTCAGTTCACCTTTATTTATAGTATAGACACAATAAGTGCTTAAAAGGATGCAAAAATGCCCATCCAAATCACTAGGAATGCTGCCGGTCAGTCCATCTGTGGTAGAGAAACAAACAAGTTAAGTCCCAGCATTGTTGCTAGTGCATGAGGTGTGAAAGATTTCACAAAGGCTAGAGTTAAAGCAGAGAAAAGTTTTATTTACTTTCCAAAGGAGGAAAGGGCCAGATGCTATAGACAGCATCTGCTCTGTGGGACAATTGGTGTCAGATTTTAAGGATTTTGTGAGGCGGGGGTTTTAGGATTATGGGTGGGGAGTGGAACAGGTTGTTATTGGTCTCTCTCACAAATGGTAGGGCGGGTTGTCTGATTAGAACTGCACATTGACCAGGGTGTGGTTTGGCCCAGAGACATGGCTTCAAAGTCTCTGAGTACTATGATTTCTCAGAATAGAACAGAAAAATTACTAGCTCATTCTGATCTAAAAAAGATACACAAAGTTAGGCAGGAGCCTACACAAAATGAAGTTACTTAGGTCCATCTGTTAGCTTTCCAAGGCAGAAACTACTTGGTAAGAATGTGATGACATCATTCAATGTCTTAATTAAGATCATTTAAAGACCAAGTCCATTGTAATATTTTTATCCCATTAACTCTCTTAGTAAACAATGGTTTATATCCTTTTATTCATAGGACTGTGCTCATATAGAGGAGATCCTGAAAGATTGGGGGGAAGTTTCACTGGATTTTCTGTATGAGGAACAGAAGAAAAACAAAAACATAGAAGAAATACTTCTTAATTAAGGGTGGTTTATAGGAATTTAGAGAAATGAAGAAAACCCTTTCCGAACCCTCTTACACTGCTGGCGGGAATGTAAACTAGTACAACCACTCTGGAAAAGAATTTGGAGGCTACTTAAAAAGGTAAACACTGATCTACCATATGATCCAGCAATACCACTCTTGGGGATATACCCAAAAGACTGTGACACAGGTTACTCCAGAGGCACCTGCACACCCATGTTTATTGTGGCACTATTCACAATAGCCAAGTTATGGAAACAGCCAAGATGCCCCACACTGACGAAATTAAGAAAATGTGGTATCTATACACAATGGAATTTTATGCAGCCATGAAGAAGAATGAAATGTTATCATTCGCTGGTAAATGGATGGAATTGGAGAACATCATTCTGAGTGAGGTTAGCCTGGCCCAAAAGACCAAAAATCGTATGTTCTCCCTCATATGTGGACATTAGATCAAGGGCAAACACAACAAGGGGATTGGACTTTGAGCACATGATAAAAGTGAGAGCACACAAGGAAGGGTGAGGATAGGTAAGACACCTAAAAAATTAGCTAGCATTTGTTGCCCTCAATGCAGAGAAACTAAAGCAGATACCTTAAAAGCAACTGAGGCCAATAGGAAAAGGGAACCAGGAACTAGAGAAAAGGTTAGATCAAAAAGAATTAACTTAGAAGGTAACACACATGCACAGGAAATTAATGTGAGTCAACTCCCTGTATAGCTATCCTTATCTCAACCAGCAAAAACACTTGTTCCTTCCCATTATTGCTTATACTCTCTCTTCAACAAAATTAGAGATAAGGGCAAAATAGTTTCTGCTGGGTATTGAGGGGGTGGGGGGGAGAAGTAGGGGGCTGGATGGGTGGTAAGGGAGGGGGTGAGGGCACGGGGGAGAAATGACCCAAGCCCTGTATGCACATATGAATAATAAAACAATAAAAAAAGTTCTCAGCAAGCAGTTTATCTATATGCTTTTATTCATCATCTTGGAACATGAAAGATTAAACAATTGTATGTCTTGGGTGGGGATATTTTTCACTAGTTTTGCTACATAAGAGGGACAGACGAAAACACAAGACTCCTTTATTATTAGAGGAAAGGTTTTGGTATAAATTTAGGGCAATTAAGAAGGCGTGTACCCCATTGCTAAAAGAGAGTACATTCTCCATGTAGACCAATGTATAGACAAACACAGCCCCTAAACCAGTACTTGTCACACTTGGCTGCACACTGGAGTCACCTAGATAGTTTTTAAAATTGTCAATACCTGGCTTCTGACCAGAACAATGTGGATTTAATTAGTCTGAGGTAAGTCCTGAATGTCAAAAGTTTTTAAAAATCCTCAGGTTATATCATCAGCAGGGAAGTTTTGGCACTACCTCCTTAATGATTCCAGTCTGTCTCACAGACTGTCCACCGGGTGCATAGACACACCTCATGGTCATTTACCCATTTCACTAATGTAAAATTCAGACATTGTTTCCAAGAGCTATTAAGAACTATAACAATAGAATAGGCCAAGTGAAACTCCCAGAACTACCTAACCCTAACCTCCATACGCCAGGCAATGTAGTAAATGAAAATCAAAGTATTGAGTCACCTTTAAACTGCAGAGGAGGTGATCCCCTTCATATTTCCATAAGATTAATTACTTTAGCCCCTGAATGAAACAGATGTATCATAACAGATAGTTGGATATAAGACCCATCAAATGAAAGAACCACTGTGGCTGGTGTGATAAATGTTGAATCTTGGCTATAGCAAATTTCTTCAGTGCCTGGTATGGGATTTGCAAGCTGAACAGGAAACTGGAGCCCTTAAAATATCCAAGATGAGAGAGGCAAAGGTGGATCCAGGGCACATGGAACTGGCAGAAGTATATATTCACTGCCTTGACCCAAAGCTATGTTAATTCTCTAGCTCTTTGTAACATTAGTGTTCAAAATTATACAAGCCTGAACACCCTACTGAGTATCATGTCTTTTCTTTGCACCTGATTGTTTGGTTTTGTTTCAGTTTGGGTCGTACTGGGGTTTTGAACTCAAAGCCTTCTTATGGTTAGGCAAGTGCTCTACTACTTGAGCCATGTCTCTAGCCCTGGATATCATATTAACTCATGATAGTCATTGTATCAAGTTAGTCAGATATGATGAAAAAGAAACAAGAATGCTATGTGAACCTCAGTTAGGTTAATATGCTGCTGAAGATGGGACATAAATCTGACCAAGATTCCCAAAGTTACCAAGTTGGTATTATTTTTTCAAGAATACCAGGACATTCTATGCTGAGTACCTGACTGATCAGTAAGAGACCAACATGGAACCCTGAGTAAGGTACTATCTCTTGAGGAGATCAGACAGGTACTTGTTGGGGTTCAGGTAAGTTGGATTAGGGTCTACCTTTCAACTTACAGTGCCTCAGTCAGCACCATTATATGGGAGCCCCAGAGATTTATGATCATCACAACCCAAAGACAGCAAAGGATGTGACACAATGAGCACAGGACCATGCTGTCCATTGTTCTTACTTTGTATTGTGCCATCCAGAAATTCGTGAACTGATAGTATAATCCTCTCTCTCTTGAGGCTATGGCTGAGATGCCAGCTTGAGAATGGCATCCTATGAGGAAGGATTTCAGGTTGAAGCATACACCATAAACTAATAACCATTATATGGATCTATGTCCCCAATAGTTACAATACATTACTAAAGACCTGAAACTTTGAAACTAGTGTAGGAATACACTGGAATTAGTAGGCATAGGCAATGACTTCCTAAATAGAACTCAAATGGCTCAACAACTAAGAGAAAGGATTGACAAATGGGACTACATGAAATTAAGAAGCTTCTGCACAACAAAAGAAATGGTCTCTAAATTTAAGAGGCTGCCCACAGAATGGGAGAAAATCTTTGCCAGCTATAGTTCTGACAAGGGTTTGATAACCAGAATATACAGGAAGCTCAAAAAACTAAACTTCCAAAAATTCAATGACCCAATGAAGAAATGGGCAAAAGAACTGAAGAGAGCTTTTCAAAGGAGGAAGTCCAAATAGCTAAACAATACATAAAGAAATGCTCAATATCTTTGGCCATAAAGGAAGTGCAAATCAAAACCATGTTAAGATTCCACATTACTCCTGTTAGAATAGCTACCATCAAAAACACAAACAACAACAAATGCTGACAATGATATAGAGAAAAGGGAACTCCCATGCACTGCTGGTGGGAATGTAAATTGGTACAACCACTATGGAAAACAGTTTAGAGGTGCCTCAAAACACTAAAAACAGAACTGTCATACGATCCGGCAATTCTACTCTTAGGGATATACCCAAAGGAATGTAACTCAGGTTACAACAAAGGCACCTGCACACCCATGTTTATTGCAGCACTATTCACAATAGCCAAGATATGGAAATAGTCAAGATGCCCCACTACTGATGAATGAATTAAGAAAATGTGGTACTTATATACAATGGAATTTTATTCAGTCACAAAGAAGAATGATATTTTGTCAGTTGCAGCTAAAATGGATGGATCTGGAGAACATCATTTTAAGTGAAGTTAGCCAGGTTCAGGCCAAAGGCTGCATGTTTTCTCTCATATGTGGAATATAGACCTAACACAAATGCAGTAATATTACAAAAAACAGGTCATACTAAGGGGAGGTTAAGGTGAATATGGTGACATACTCTCTATGTAAGTATGAATATAGAATTTTCATACTGTTTGAAACAATCATAAGAAAGGGAATAAGGTAGAAAAAAGAAAAATAGAGATGAACCAAATCAGGCTATAATACATATATACATGGAAGTGCCACAAGGAAACTCCCTGTATAGCTATCTTAAACAAGCAAAAATGTCATTTTTTTCATCTTTTTTGTGAAAACATAGGACAGGAGGGTGGAACAAGTCCTGGGCAGGGCAGGGATGGATGTGGGGGGTACCAATGGGAGGAGGGAAGAAGGAAGAAGTGGGGAAAGGGTATAGGAGGGTGAATATGGTACAAATACTGTGTACGTACGAGTATAAATGGAAAAAATCTATCTGTTGAAACTATTTCAGGAATGGAAAAAAAGGGGGAAAAGGAGAATGCTGGAGCGGGTAAATTCAAGTATGATGTATTTGATGTATGGTAAGGATCTTTGTAAATGCCACAATATACTCTATCCAGCACAATAATAAAAAGAGAAACCAAATTATCAAAAGATGAGGTCTCTTACTCAACTACACTCCCAGTGGCCTATTTGGGGAAACCTGTGTTTCCTCCACATAAATTTAGGCTCTATGCAAGTAGATATTCTGGCTACAAAGGTGCCTTCAGAGCACCAAGATCTCTTGGAATGAAAGTTATCATTGTTGCCTTATCACTCTGGGCTTCACCTGCCAGTGCACAAGCAGGCAAAGTAAGGAGCTATTCCCAAGGATCCAGCTATGCCCCCCAGGAGACATTGTAAGGGTCTCCTTAGAATGAAGTAAGCATTGTCACCTTATTACTGTGGGCTTCATTTGCCAGTAGTCAATCAGGCAAAGAAAGGAGCTTATCCCTAGGCAACTGACCTCAATCTCATGAGCAAGTAGGAGCACTGTTGCTCAGTGGGGGCAGGGAGAAAAATATTTAGTGTTAGGAGATCCACAAGGGACATTACTGGCTTTTTAGTTCCATTTTGACTGAGAATGGGCCAGTGCAGCAGCCATAGTCAAATAAGGACATAGCAACCAAGGGCTAAGAACTCTCAGGATGGAACCGCCGTGCTTCTGCCCGGCAAGCCACCTACACCAGCAGACGTCTGCTAACGATACTTCTTGGGAAACTTTCTCTGTAATTGTGAGTAACCTGATGGCATGACCTGATCAAGAGAACTATGAGCATCAGGTGGAAGACATGGTACTCTACCCAATATCCTTTTACCCAAGTAGTCCTCTATCCTGAAGCTAGTGTGAGAACACAGGAGGTGACTCACACTGCTCACCCACTCTCCTCTCTAGGTAAATGTGCTTAGACATTAATTCCGCTCCCCCTGCATATTTCTGGCATGTCTGGACCGTCCCCCCTCCTGCCCTGGGTGCCCACAGATAGAGACATTGAGTAGCAATACAAAGGCCCTCTTTGTGTTGCCTCTTGGAGACCAAGGGCTATAGACCTATTCTTACTTGAGAGCTTTTCAAGAACATTAAATATGGTGGAATTCACTAAAACTGCATTTTGGTTCGGGCAAATGTACTAATCCAATATGACTCCTTCTAGTTTCTTAGAGATCCTTTCAGAAATTATTTCCTTAGCTGTCTTAGTCTTTGTGCCTCCAGAGCCAACTTAGATACAGGGGTTTGAGAACAAGCAGTTTCTTTGGTTAATGATCCCAGAAAGCACTGTAGGAAACTTAGAAATGATTCAGGGCAGGGAAGCAACCAGTACAGAGAGAAATAATAACCAGAGCATCGCTGGAAGCAGCTAGGCTCTAATTCCACCGAGGACCTTTGTAACACTGGTATGGCATGCCTTCATCAACAGGAAGTGAGTCAAAGCATTTGTTCACCAAATCCCTTTCATTGGTTGAGCTCTGTTCTAGGGACTTACTCTGCTGCACAGAGTGTGGTCATCAACATTGAATGTACTCAGAGCAGATCCAGGTGGGAGCTCTAAGTCACTTTGTTTACAATGTGGAATCCTAAGGGAACAAAGCTGGCACACCAGAAATTGCTTGCTGTGGTCTTCTTATTCTTCTGAAATAAACTACAGAACAATTCAGATAAGGACAACAATTCAAGGAAGAAAAATAAGGTAACATGACACCTTCATATTTGTATGCCTGGAGATTTATTTAACATGTAGGAATAACAGTATTTGAGAAAACATGTCAGAGTACGAATATTTCCATGGGAGTAATATGATAGTTGAGAGATGTCAGAGAAAATTCATACCATATTTTGAAGAGAGATAGTATCCTGGCGGGAGAGGGGAAAGTATAATTGGAGGCCAAAATCAATCTCAGCGGGAGCTGAGGTTTTACAATTGGCCCTTCATGATTTAGATTGCAAATGGTCTACATGAAGAATGTTGGATGATGAAGACCAGGAGCGTGCAGGTGAGAGCATTCAGCAGCAAGAACCGCTGCAGCAGGTGGGGCAGCAGCAGGGCTGGCAGCACACAGACTGGGAGCAGGGTTGGGAGCAGGTGGTCCTGCAGCAGATGGTCTGGCAGCAGATGGGGCGGCAGCAAGGTCGGCAGCAACTGGACACACAACAGCTGGGGCGGTGGCAGCTGGAGACACAGCAGCTGGGGCAGCAGCAGGGCTGGCAGCACACAGACTGGCAGCAGGGCCTGCAGCTGCTGGACACACAGCAGCTGGGACGGCAGCAGCTGGGCTGGCAGCAGCCTTGGCCACAGCCCTGCTCAGAGCAGGTGGAGCCACAACAGGAGTTGACCATGGTGTCAGAGGATGGAGGTTCTGGTGGGTTTCCAAGAAGGTGGGTTGGGAAGTTTGGAGGTCTCCCTGCCCCCATCCCTTTCTATACCCTACTGAGGGTCTGCTGAGAATGCATGCAGCATTCTTCCCTTGTTATTATTTGTGTTAATAAATAGGCAATTATCAAATTAGGCAAATTTATTTTCTTGTTAAATTTTGAAGGTGTATGTAAAACATGATTTCCTTTTCCTGCTGTGTTAGGATTCGTGTGCCTGCTCTTGAGGAAACACCTCCTAAGTGTCTCTCTTGCTTTAGTTCCTCAAAAGAGACCTGTCAGGTGACATTCTGTGCTTTAGTGCATACATACTTCATTCTCATTGTGCACACAAAATCTCATGTGCTCACAGGTAATCATCATTCTTTACAATGATTATTTCTGTTGACCTAGTAAGAAAAAGCTGCATTTGAGTCCAATGGCTCATTGATAATGTTCATGTGGGCAAAGGAGGTTTGAATGTGAAAGACCACTGGCTTTAAAACAGGAAGGTTATTAGGACATGTCTCTTTACCTACTGTGAATCATGATCCAGTCTTACACTTTATATGGGAAAAACAGGACTACTTCAAGGTAGAAACTGAATGGGGAAATGTTGATATTCTCTCTCTCCTCTCTCTCTCTCTCTCTTTCCTCTCTCTGTCTCTCTCTCCATCCTTTCTTTCTGTCTTTTTATTTTCCTAGAAACAAACTAACCTTTAAAACTCACTTTAGGGCTTTCTGGAAGTGGCAGCAGAGCTCAGCTATACTGTGAAGTTCAGACCCCTCGGTTCAGCAATGTAGACTTACTTTCCTTCTATGTTTACTACCCTTCCTTCCTGGATTTAGTATGACATGTGGGCTCATGTCTTCTTTTCTGAGATTAACTTGGCAGTTACACCAAAGTGAATGATCCCAGTGTAGTTGCCTCTATTCTAATTTACATCTGATCTTCCTGCTCTCTGTTGAGCTACTGAAATTTTTAGAAGACAAGACTCTCTGCCTCATTATTCAGGGGGTTGATGAGATCTCCCTCTTCATGTCTGTGAATTCCCTATGATTGAGAAACTTCTTTTTGACCAACAGCATATGGCAGCATTCAGTAATTAAGTGACAAATTGTGACCTTCCTCTTGTTAGGTAACTCTTTCCTGCAGGATCTCCCTCTGTCACTAGATTTGATTAATCCAGCTGCTATGTGGAAGACACTCATGTGGCTAAAGAGGAGAGTACAGCCTCCACTGAAATGCTAACTCCATATCAAGGAGTTACCAAATACTATCAGCCACCATAGAGGTGAGCTCCAAACTCGATTCATCCATGTTCCCTCACATGAGACCCCAGTGTCAGCTAATACCTTCATTACAACTTTGTAAAAAACTCGGATTTAGACAATGTAGCCAAGCTCTACCTAATCCTGATCCACATAACCTGTGGGATAATTAGTTACGGTATTTTAAACTTGAAGTTTTGAGTTAATATAACAATAGATAACTAGTATAAATTTACCTGTTGCTACACAGCCCATAGAAATGAAGGAAAGGAAAAAAAAAGATGCAGAGAAGTGGATATGCTAGAATGGACCTAGTCATATGGCCTGAAAACCCAACAGGCTGACCCTGCTCCATGAATGGCCCAGGAGACTCTGGGATAACTAATGTGATGAGGGAGAAGCAGGCAAGGGATCACTAGCATTCTGGAGAAATTCAGTGATGCCTGATCTCTAAAGTCCGAGCCTTGATAGGAAGTATTGTTGCAAAACATTGCTCATGAGGCATAATGGTTATGATAAGATCACACAATGAAAGATCCCTATAGAACCATTGAGTTCTAAGAATTACTATGGGTGTGTTACCTGAAGGGCAATAGGTAAGGCATGGCAATTTGGTAGAGTAGTGTATAACCTCAGGGTTATAATCCTCACATGGTTCTCAGACCTATATAGATACATTAATTTAAAGGGAGGATAGTCCTCCAGGAGAGAGAACCTCAAAAATATATACAGTACCCTCATTCTATTTCCAAAGGGCCTATGGCAATCTATTCATGGGGATGGTAAATATCCATATATTTGGATGCTGTTGTTCAACAGACTAGAATTGACAAAATCACTGAATTTCAAAATGCCACTTGACCCCCAGTAGAATCTAAGAGTGATTGTTAGAAACAGTCAAATGTAGCCCCTGGAAAGGGATCACTCTCACTTCCATCCACCAAGTAAGCTAGTTAATCAAATACAGAGTTTAGAGACCCCTTCAAAGACTTAAAAACTGCAAGGAAGGTGAATCCCATCATATTCCATAAGACTCACTAGTTTAGCCCCTCCAAAAAACAAATGCATGATAAACAGATAGTGGATGATCACAAGACCCATCAAATAAATGATCCACTGTATTTGAAATGATAAAGTAAACCCCTTGTTTTATTCTCCTAACATCTGGTATGGAAATAGAAACTGAGCAGACAAATGGAGCCCTTAAAATACCCAAACAAGGCCAGGTGCTAGTGGCTCACTCCTGTAATCCTAGCTCCTGAGGAGGAAGAGATCAGGATTGAGGTTCAAAGCCAGCCCAGGTAAATAGTTCACAAGACCATGTCTCAAAAATACCCAACACACAAAAGGACTGGTAGAGTGGCTAAGTGGTAGAGTGCCTGCCTAGCAAGTGTGAGACCCTGAGCTCAAACCCCAATACCACCAAAAAATGAAAGAAAGAAAGAGGGAGGGAAGAAGGAAGGAAGGAAAGAAAAGAAAATACTCAAGGAAGGAGAGGCAGAGGTGGCTCAAGGCACATGAAACTGATAGAAGTATATATATATATATATATATATATATATATATATGACATTTTTAATCCATTCATACATTGATGGGCATCTAGGCTGATTTTTTACCATGTTGCTGTGAATAATGCTGCAATAAACATGGATATGGTAAGGTCTCTATAGTAAGATGACTTTGATTCTTTTGGATCTTTATCTAGAAATGGAATAGATGTATCATATAGTAGTTCCATTTCTAATTTTTTGAGTAAGTTTCATACTGATTTCCATAGAGGGTACACTAATTTACGTTCTCACCAACAGTGTATAAGCATTCCTTTCCCCTCAAAATCCTTGCCAGCATTTGTTATTTTTTATTTTCTCGATGGTAACCATTCTGACAGGAGAGATATGGAACTTCAATGTAGTTTTGATTTCCATTTCCTTGATGACTAAAGATGTTGAACATTTTTTCCATTTATTTATTGGCACTTGTACTTCTTTATCTGAAAAATGTCTGTTCAGTTCATTTGTCCATTTATTGATTGGATTATTTGATTTTATTTGGTTTATACTTTTTGAGTTCTTTATATATTGTGGATATTAATCTGATGTTGTATGACAAAGATTTTTTTCCCATCCTGTTTTTGTTTTTTACTTTAGTTTTGCTGTATAGAGTGTTTTGATAGAGAATTGATTTGTCAATTCTTGCTATTATTCCTAGAGCTATTGGAGTCCTAATCAGAAACTCATTACCTATAACTGTGTCTTGAAGTATTTTTCCAATGTTCCTCTAGTAGTCTTGGAGTTTTAGGTCTTACGTTTTTGGCAGGCTCACATAGGTTTGGTGTGGGCTCCAGGGCTCCTGGCTCAACCCTGCAGCTCTGGCCAGGTGTGTCTAAGGCATTTCTAAGGTGACACTGCACAAACCGACTCTCACATCTATAACCCTCAGGTGACCTTCCTCACCAGGCACCAGAACATCAGGTCTGAAGTTGAGAATTCTACTACTGGAAAACAATGGATGCATTTTCTTGTTAGAGAATTAAAAGATCAAGATAAAGAACTCAATTATATGGTTGCAGTGCATCAAAGACAACTTCTTTCATGTGAAAAAGGCTGGAACCAAGTGTTGACTTTGGAGGAACTTTGCAGCAAATTAGGTGAGCTGCATAAAAGAACTGAAATACTCAAGTCATGAAGAAGGTGAAAGTCCTTGAATCCAATCAAACTGAATGTCAAACAGCTCTTCCCAAGACTCAATCACAGCTTCAGGAGATGACTCAAAAAGCAACTCCTTCTTCCCTCCTTTCTGAAGACCTTGAGAGAACCTAAATGAAAAGACAACAGAAAAAGAAAGTTGCCAACAGATGAATTGTTTTTAACTGTGGAGAGAGAAAAGAGGAAAGATGAGCTACTTAATAGTGCTTTCCTGATTTCTTTCTTAGCAAGTTCATTATTGGCATATAGAAAACTTACTGATTTTTGTATGTTGCTTTTGTATCCTGCCACCTTGTTGAATTTATTATCAGTTCTAAGAGATTTTTGGTGGAGTCTTTAGGGTTTTCGATGTATAAAATATCATCTTTAAATGGGGAAAATTTAACCTTCTCCCTCCCTTTTTTTTTTCATCCCTTTTTTCTTTCTCTTGCCCAATTGCTCTAACTAAGAATTCAAGCCCTATATTGAATAGGAGTGGTAAGAGTGGGGACCCGTGTCTTGTTCTTGAACTTAGAAGAAATGCTCTCAGATTTCCCCTGTTCAGTATGTTGGCTATGGGTTTATCATACATAGTCTTTGTATGTTGAGGTATGATCCTTCTATACCTAATTTATGCAGAGTCTTTATCATGAAGGTGGGTTGAAAATTATCAAAGGACTTTTCCGCATCTATTGCAAAGGACTTTTGTGCATCTATTGAGATGATCATGTGAGTTTTGTCCTTGATTTTATTATAATAGATTCTACAAAATAAATATAAGTCTATTAAATGTATTGGTTTGCAAATGTTGAGACATTCTTGTATCCCTGACATGAAACCAGTTTGGTCAAGGTATGTGAAGATCCCTTTTTTTAGTTTTCTTCCCCTGTTTCTGATGTGAAACTAAATTAGTTTGGATAAAATCTCATTGGTGGATGAGATCAATATATTTTTAACTATAACCCCCCTGCTAACATGTATTCCTGTGTCATGGAGAAAAAGAGACAGAAATATGAACAAACTACCTCATTAATAAGAAATAATAATAAATGAGCTCCATAGTGTCTCTGAATATTAAATGTTTTATTGGGAACCATCAAGTAATACCACATCAAGATAGGTTTTACAGAAAAACATTAGAAAGAAAAAAATCTGTAAGTGGAACATTTGAAGACTTTTGTATTTTAAAATAGAATTGGTAATTCTTAAACAACCTGATGCACAATTTGACTATAAATTCTGACTCACTAGTAATGGAATGCTAATAATAACTAATAACATAGAGACCAGTCTTTTCTAAATCACTCCATGTGTCTGCTTGTAAGTTCATAACATCAGAGGTCCATGTGCTCTGTTGAATAGATGCTCTCTGCCTTGACTGAAGGATGAGGGTGAGAATGTCCACAGATCCAGATCAGTACACTCAGCAACAAGAACTGCTACAGCAGCTGGGGCGGCAGCAGGTTGTTCTACAGCAGGTGGTCTGGAAGCAGGGCCTGCAACAGCTGGACACACCGCAGGTGGGGTGGCAGCAGCTGGAGATGCAGCAGGTGGGGCGACAGCAGGGTCTGCAGCACACAGACTGGCAGCAGGGCCTGCAACAGCTGGACACACAGCAGGATGGCCTGCAGCAGCTAGAAATGCAGCAGCTGGGGCGACAGCAGGGCCTGCAACAGCTGGACACACAGAAGGATGGCCTGCAGCAGCTAGAAATGCAGCAGCTGGGGCGACAGCAGGGCCTGCAACAGCTGGACACACAGCAGGATGGCCTGCAGCAGCTAGAAATGCAGCAGCTGGGGCGACAGCAAGGCCTGCAACAGCTGGACACACAGCAGGATGGCCTGCAGCAGCTAGAAATACAGCAGCTGGGGCGGCAGCAGGGTCTGCAGCAGGTGGTCTGACAGCAGCTGGGCTGGCAGCAGGTCTCCTGGCAGAGGCCTTGGTCATAACTCTGCTCAGAGCAGACAGAGCCACAACATGAGTTGACCATGGTGTCAGAGGATGGAGGTTCTGGGTGCGTTTCCAAATGAGTGTATTCGTTGAATCTGAAAATTTCCAGCCCCTGAGACCCCTTTTATACCTTGCTAAGGGAGCTCTTCCTTGTTATTGTTTATTCTAACAAGTAAATAATTGTTAAATTAAGCAATTATGTTTTCCAAATTATATGGAAAACTTTGTTTCTTTTTCCTGATGGATTAAGACTTATCTCATTGCCTCTTCCTGAATCACATGTAGTGTGTCTTTCTTTGTGTGCATCATCTTGGTTGAGGTGCTCACTCAATAGTCCAAGCTAAAATCTATTGGCACTCACTCCATTTGCTCTTTCCTTCTGAATCATCTCACCATTCCTTCCTTGTGGTCATTATCTTTGTTTAAAATATTCCAACTACTTCCATCAGCAGTGGTCATGGGATGCTTGACATGTAACCCATGTAATTCTTTCCCATCTGTGGGTCACACCATGCCCAGAATTTCTGTCACATTCATAATGTAAAAGAGATTTAATCATGGGCCCAACAAGACATAATGAAATCTCAGAAGTATAGAATCTTTGCCTGGTTTTGGCATAAGTATAATACTGGCTTCATAAAATGTGTTTGGCAGTTTTCCTTCCCTTTCTATTTCATGGAACAGTTTAAGGAGGGTTGGTATCAGTTCTTCTTTAAAGGTCTGATAGAATTCAGCAGAGAATCCATCAGGTCCTGGACTTTTCTTTTTGGGGAGACTCTTGATTGCTGCTTCAATTTCATTTTGTGTTATAGGTCTATTCAGGTGATTAATTTCCTCTTGGTTCAGTTTTGGATGATCATATGTATCTAGAAATCTGTCCATTTCTTTTAGATTTTCAAATTTATTTGAATATAGGTTCTCAAAGTAGTCTCTGATGATTTCCTGGACTTCCATGGTGTTTGTTGTTATCTCCCCTTTTGCATTCCTGATTCTACTAATTTGGGTTTTTTCTCTCCTCATTTTAGTCAGGTTTGCCAGGGGTCTATCGATCTTGTTTATTTTTTCAAAGAACCAACTTTTTGTTTCATTAATTCTTTGTATGGTTTTTTGGTTTCTATTTCATTGATTTCAGCTCTTATTTTTATTATTTCTCTCCTTCTATTTGTTTGGGATTTGCTTGTTCTTGTTTTTCTAGGAGTTTGAGAATGTATCATTAGGTCATTGATTTGGGATCTTTCATCTTTTTAATATATGCACTCATGCTATAAACTTTCCTCTCAGACTGCCTTAGCTGTGTCCCATAGGTTCCGGTAGGTTGTGTTTTCATTTTCATTGACTTAGGAACTTTTTAATTTCCTCTTTTATTGCATCGATGATCCATTCTTCATTAAGTAATGAGTTATTTAGTTTCCAGCTGTTTGCATGTTTTTTTGTCTTTATTTGTTGTTGAGTTCTACTTTTACAGCATTGTGGTCAGATAGTATGCATGGTATTAATTTCTATTTTCTTATATTTGCTGAGGCTTGCTTTGTGCCCTAGGATATGATCTATTTTGGAGAAGGTTCCATGGGCTGCTGAGAAGAAGTATATTGTGTAGAGGTTGGATGAAATGTTCTTAGACATCTACTAGGTCCACTTGATCTATTGCATATTTTTAGATCTTGGATTTTCTTTATTGAGTTTTTTGTTTGGATGACCTATCTATTGATGATAATGGAGTGTTAAAAGTCTCCCACAACCACTGTGTTGGCGTTTTAAATATATGCAAAACCAGGCAAAGACACCTCCAAAAAGGAGAACTATAGGCCAATCTCCTTAATGAACATTGATGCAAAAATCCTCAACAAAATAATGGCAAACCGAATTCACAACACATCAAAAAGATTATTCACCACGACCAAGTAGGCTTCATCCCAGGGATGCAGGGGTGGTTCAACATACGAAAATCAATAAACGTAATAAACCACATTAACAGAAGCAAAGACAAAAACCACTTGATCATCTCAATAGATGCAGAAAAAGCCTTTGATAAGATCCAACATCATTTCATGATAAAAGCTCTAAGAAAACTAGGAATAGAAGGAAAGTTCCTCAACATTATAAAAGCTATATATGACAAACCTACAGCCAGCATTATACTTAACGGAGAAAAACTGAAAACCATTCCTCTAAAATCAGGAACCAGACAAGGATGCCCACTATCTCCACTCCTATTCAACATAGTACTGGAATTCCTAGCCAGAGCAATTAGGCAAGAAGAAGGAATAAAAGGAATACAAATAGGTAAAGAAACTGTCAAAATATCCCTATTTGCAGACGACATGATCCTATACCTTAAAGACCCAAAAAACTCTACTCAGAAGCTTCTAGACATCATCAATAGCTATAGCAAGGTAGCAGGATATAAAATCAACATAGAAAAATCATTAGCATTTCTATACACTAACAATGAGCAAACGGAAAAAGAATGTATGAAAACAATTCCATTTACAATAGCCTCAAAAAAATCAAATACCTAGGTGTAAACCTAACAAAAGATGTGAAAGACCTCTACAAGGAAAACTATACACTTCTGAAGAAAGAGATTGAGGAAGACTATAGAAAGTGGAGAGATCTCCCATGCTCATGGATTGGTAGAATCAACATAGTAAAAATGTCGATACTCCCAAAGTAATCTACATGTTTAATGCAATTCCCATCAAAATTCCAATGACATTCATTAAAGAGATTGAAAAATCTACTGTGAAATTTATATGGAAACACAAGAGGCCACGAATAGCCAAGGCAATACTCAGTCAAAAGAACAATGCAGGAGGTATCACAATACCTGACTTCAAACTATATTACAAAGCAATAACAATAAAAACAGCATGGTACTGGCACAAAAACAGACATGAAGACCAGTGGAACAGAATAGAGGACCAGATATGAAGCACACAACTATAACCAACTTATCTTTGACAAAGGAGCTAAAAATATACGATGGAGAAATAGCAGCCTCTTCAACAAAAACTGCTGGGAAAACTGGTTAGCAGTCTGCAAAAAACTGAAACTAGATCCATGTATATCACCCTATACCGATTAACTCAAAATGGATCAAGGATCTTAATATCAGACCCCAAACTCTTAAGTTGATACAAGAAAGAGTAGGAAATACTCTGGAGTTAGTAGGTATAGGTAAGAACTTTCTCAATGAAACCCCAGCAGCACAGCAACTAAGAGATAGCATAGATAAATGGGACCTCATAAAACTAAAAAGCTTCTGTTCATCAAAAGAAATGGTCTCTAAACTGAAGAGAACACCCACAGAGTGGGAGAAAATATTTGCCAATTATACATCAGACAAAGGACTGATAACCAGAATATACAGGGAACTTAAAAAACTAAATTCTCCCAAAACTAATGAACCAATAAAGAAATGGGCAAGTGAACTAAACAGAACTTTCTCAAAAGAAGAAATTCAAATGGCCAGAAAACACATGAAAAAATGCTCACCATCTCTAGCAATAAAGGAAATGCAAATTAAAACCACACTAAGATTCCACCTCACCCCTGTTAGAATAGCCATCATCCAACACCACCAACAACAGGTGTTGGCGAGGATGCGGAGC